CAAACCCATCAAGTTTTACACCAATCTCTTGTTTTTCTTTTGTTGTCTCTTTTTACAACTGTTGTTGTTATACTAGTTCAAAATAAAGGTACATACAAATACAAACTTGCGGTGTACCTCAAGGCTCCATCATGGGTCTAATTCTGTAGTTTTAAAGAGCTACCTAAAAAAAAAAAAAAGTTAATTAAGTTCTTCAAAATAAATGCTCAAATAAGTACCTAGAGACATTTCAGGATTGCTGCCACTGGCAAGACTTTCTTAGGACTTTAATTCAGTCAACTCATGATATCGCCTTTTTTTTTTTTTTTTTAAATCGTTTCAGACCTGGATCACACAGCAGATGTACAGTGAGTACCTTTTTGGTATAGTAAAACCATGTTCCTCTGTTTTTTTCTTAGTTTTTAACAAAAAAAAAACCCTTCTTTTTTCTTTTCCAAGAATTCACTCTTGGGGAGACTCCTTGGAGGAAGCCTTTGAGCAGTGTGCCATGGGCATGTTCGGCTACATGACGGACACAGAGACGGTGGAACCGATAGATACAGTTGAAGTGGAGTCGGAGGGTGAGAGTCTGTCACCAAGATTTCAACCGACTCCAGTTGTACCTACTTTCTACCTGTCTCAGTCTGGCTGTTTGCAGAGCAGATCAGCTAAAGTCTGTGTGTATGTTTTTGTTCCTAAAAGGTGAAGACATGGAGTCGCTTCTCTTCCACTTCCTAGATGATTGGTTATACAAGTTTAGTGCAGATCTTTTCTTTATTCCCAGGGTGAGTATCTTGGTCACTTGTGTATTACTTAACATGTACTTTAAACTTATTTACATTGATTGCATATCTGTTTTTGTTTGCAAAAGCATTTGAGACCTGAGCCTTTATAAAATAGATCGGTTTTGATATAAATTATGACCTAAATGGGTAAGTATAAAATCTTTCCTTGACACGGAAAAATAATATAGACTTCATACATTTCTATGAAAGCAGGACAGAAAGCAACATGTATTGCTATCTTAACCATCTCCAAATTCTATGTCAAGCCACATTTTTATAGGCCCAATGAAACAGATCCATAAGCATTTTGACCCTGTTTTTGTCATTTTGCCTCTATACACTCCCCGAAGCAACTTTAGTTTTAATTCAAGGGTTTAGCAGAAATACGGCATCACTATTCAAGAATTATATACACAGTCGCTTATTTTCAGATTCTCCAAAGTAATTGGACAATTGACTTCCAAGCTGTTTCGTGGTCTGTTGAGGCCTTCTTCCTGATTACTTCAAGACAAAATGACTACAATGGTCTGGATTTGATTATATAAGTTTATTTTTGCATTTTATAGCTTTTTACTGGAGCTCTCAATGTGAGGTCCAAAGAGTGGTCGACGCATGTGAAGGAAGCCATCTTAGTCTGGGAAAAAAAAAAAAAACAACCTAAAAAGGAAATGGAAAAAAACTTTAAGTGGTCAAATCAACAATGTGGTCATTCTGTAAAATAATGAATGAATCATCTGGCCAGCTCAGCAACATCAAAAGCCTTGAAAGACCACAGAAGACAACTAAAGTTGATGATTGAAGAAATCTTTCTTGGATTAAGTAAAACCACTTCACAACACATAGAGAAGAACACTGTCGAGGAGGTAGGCGTGCCATTGTCAAGGTCTGCAATCAAAAGACAACTTCATGAATGGAAACAGAGGATTTACAGCAAGGTGGAAACCACTGGTTACACTCAGCAACAAGGACATCAGATCAGAACATAAAAGAAAACAAAGAGCCTGCTCACAAAAGTAAGGAGACAGACTGAAACAGCTCATGATCACACAGATGCCACATCATCTGTCAAACATAGTTGAGGCGATGTTATGGCATGAGCATGTAGGACTGCCAGTTCAACTGGGCCTCTAGTTAGTACTGGTGGTGTGGCTGCTGATAGAAACAGCTGGATGAATTTTTAGTGTACAGGGCCGTACACCTTGCTCAGACTCTGCGTTTCACAGTGCAAATTGAGTTTCTTAAGGAAACAGAAATGGGATATTCTTCAATGGCCACGTCAGTAACCAGCTGAGCATGCTTTTCAGTTACTGAATATAAAATTGAAGGCAGAGAGACCCACAAACAAGCAGCAATTTTATTTTATTTTAGTTTATCCAATTACATTTGAGCCTCTGATAATGGAAGACTGTGGATAAAAATGTCTGTAATTCCTAATGTTGTACTTTGGTTAAACTCCTTAATATTAAAGCTGAAACTCTGCACTTAAATCAGATCATGATTGTTTAGTTTTAAATGTGGTGATGAACTTACCCAAAACAACTGGTAATATTATCTTTTTTTCCCTTCTTTTTTTAATATAATCACCATCTCTAAATATAATAGGCTGCAAGTAATTTTGCTACTGTTCCTTATTTACATTACAGTTATGAAGTTGCTACATTTATGAAGTGCTAACAATTTTGTCATATCTGTTCATCAGGAGGTCAAAGTTTTACATATTGACAGAATGCGTTTCAAGATTCGCTCCATTGGGTAAGTTTGGGGTCCTCCTCAATAACACTGAAGTTATCTTGATATTTATTTTAAAAAAGTATTACGTACAATTCAAACCCGAGCTAATGTGGAACAACTTTGTAATTTGTTTTTAAGGCAAAGGTCAAACTTGATCAGGACATGCAAAAAAGTTTTAATTTACTTTCTTTGCTTTATTTTTCTTTGGTTTATGAAAGGTGGGGCGAAGAATTTTCTCTGGAAAAGCACCCACAGGTAAGCCAGACAAAGAAGTAAAATGACACTCATTAGAAGAAATACATAAAATGAATAACTAATGCTACAAAACTACAATGCAACTACAGTAACTTATGTCATTTGTTGTCCTTCTAGGGAACTGAGGTGAAAGCCATCACATATTCAGCAATGCAAATCCACGATAAAGAAAAACCAGAAATATTTGCCATCATTGATATCTGATACAACTGCGAGAAGAAGCTCACACTCAATGGTTCAGTAAAAGTGGGAAGTCTACATGACCAGTTTAAGTGGCCTTTTAATTCAGCGCACTGATTTTTGATTAGTACTGTCTTTTTTGGGGCATGTAAGCTCAACTCTTTATTTAAATTTAAAAAAGAATTGTAAAATTAGCCTTACATTTAAATGAGACTTGTGAGGGATATCAATTATTTGGAGGGAATACACTGAATTTGAACTGTGCACCTGAAGTCACAATTACCAAATTTAAGCTCAAATTTTCATTTTAGGAGATTATTACTCTTATGTGTGATGGTTTTGAAGGTGTGTTGATGCATTATATCTCATTGTAAATAAATAAATAAGCAAATGTTTACCTTTGACATACAATTGAGTCACCTGTTTTTCAACTTAAAATCTCAGTTTTAAGTATTTTATAGAAGTGTTGCGATTAAATAGGACAGAAGTGCAAAAAGGTCATCATTTATCACCATATTTTAGCAAAGAATATCAAATTGGAAAAAATATGCACAACTTACTGAGTTCAACACAGCAAAATATTCCAAATGTACACTGCGTCTACTTTTTGAACTGTTTAAACCTGTTCATACATCAAATGTAAGATGAGCGTATTCTACAAAACACTTCCCTGCATTAGACATCAGGATATTCATGCCTGGGCTTGTCTTGTTTCCAGAGAGTAACTGAACAAAGCTTTTCTAAGACACGTCCAAAGCTTGTTTTCAATAGATATCTCAGACAAAGCGGTATAATACCAGGAATCTGCCTGTATGAATAACGGAAAGTACAGGCAGCAGTATTCTATGTATAAGAGAACTGTTTTGGTCATTGACTAAATACAAATACCAGGCAAAACAGAATAGAGTGTTAAAACGGGATGTTGTATATCCTGTAGTGCTTCAGATAACTGAGAAAGAACATTATCTGCATTGATATTATAGCTTCTTCTTGCTGCAGTGCCCACCAAGCACCTCCGAAAATTCAACCTGAACTGACTCATTCATGTGTGATGTGTGAGCTGATAGTTGAGAGCTTAAATCATTACAAATTATATTATTATTTGTTTGTAAACGGAGCTGGCCTTTGAAAACCCGTGTGGTCTGTTTTGATGATGTTCTGGACTGATGCACTGGACAGTTTGTATGTATTGAATTTCAAAACTTTGGTTTGACATTTTACAATAACTTATATCATAATCCAGACTATTGTAGATGTGGGTAAATGGTGTGTAGTGGTGTTTGCTGTATGCTTGTGAGAACTGTCTGAACTAATTTATTTTCAAGTTTCTTTATTTTTGTCATCTGAATACTAATTTTAAAACTCGAATTAAAGAACCCAAAGATCATTTGTGTTTTGTGCTGGTTGATTTTGTCAGACTACAATTTCCTGCTTCTTGAAGGACATTCAAAGCTCTTCTTTGGTTGATGGATGCTTTTTTTTTTGTTCTGTTCTCTGATCAGATCATCAGTAAAACATGCTACCACTGTGCAGGTCTCATGTAATTTGGCATGCCTCAGCCCTTTTCTCCATGTTTCCCTTCCTTGAGAATGGTTTCTTATGGCCACTCTACCACTGAGACCAGGCTTTGAGGCTTCTGCGAACTAAAATGCATCTCTCAGGTCCTGTGTCAGGTCTATGCTGGATTCCCCTCGCTGTTTCTTAAGGACATTGCTTTCATATACCATTCATCTGCTGTAGATGGCTGTTTAGCCTTAAATACTACCCTTTTTTTTGTCCTCGATTTTCCTCAAAGTTTTTTCAGAGCACACTCCACACCGTGCTGGGAAGTATCAAGTTTGCGATAAAAGCTCCTTGTTTTATCCCTGTCAACCGTGGTTTCTTTGGAATTTTCCATAAAATCAAATAAAGAAATAGGCACAACGTTTGGGTAAAGTACCTTAAAAGAAATCCCCTCAAATAAATGAAAAAACAGACAATAAAACAAGGTTTGCTCTGACTTTGGCACAGTGCTGTAACAGCAGGTAATCAGGGCTCTGGAGCTTCTTGCAGTGACGTCACGGTCGCCTTCCGGGTTCCCTCCTCCCCCTCACTGAAATGCAGCTGCGCCATCCACCCTCCTTTGTCTGCTGAGGAAGAGTGCGACGACTTGCAGCGGAGAAGACGCCGGTGGGCCCTTTACTAACTACACCGTTTTCCTTGTTGCATTTTCGTTTTAAAGGGGAAAAGCTTGACGAACTGAGCCGAGCTTCGTTCGTGCGTTATGAGTCAAGCGAATGCTAATAAGAGCAACATAGAGCCCGCCGTAGAGTCAAGCCCAGCAGAGAATAAGATCAAAATGGAAGACACTAAGTACCTCCCGGAGCTCCTGGCGGAAAAGGATAGCCTGGATTCATCGTTCACGCATGCAATGAAACTCATATCTGCAGGTAATGTCGCTATTTGCTTTAACATAAAGGCTAACCCGGGCTAGTTAGCTCGAGTCGGGGCCTGTTTTTTTGTTTTTTTTTGTCCCTTCTTAGCCGAGTCGAGAGGCCTGAACAATGGCGCATTAAGCACGTGGTTGTTAGCGATGTGGGTCAGGTCGTTGTCCAGTGTGTATTTGAAGCTGTGTAATTAAATCACTTGCTCTCAACGGTTCTGATGGGATTTTAATCGTGTTTACTCATCAGCTAACACCGATACTTAACGACGAACAGCTGCGATTTCGAGGCGACTATTTGCTAACTACAACCCAAATGCATGCAAAGCTTTACCTGCCGTTTCATCTTCGGATGACGCAGGGAATCGTAACCCATATCATCTGAAAAAAAATAGCTTTCGTCTATTATTTGAAATGCATTTGTTCATGAATGTCAGCTTTTTAATCGTGTTTAATTCCTGCAGAGATTGAGAGGATCCAGAAAGGTGAAACCAAGAAAGAGCCTGAGAAGGAAACATACCTGGACCTGTTTGCGACCAAGAATCTGAAGCTCAAGGAGCGTGTCCTCATTCCCACCAAGCAGTACCCTAGGGTATGTCTTTTCCCATTTACATAGCGCCCTAACCACCTAGGCGATTCAATCAGCTGATCTAACAGATTATTAATTGTACTGATTTCTCACACTCTACTTAATTAGTTTTTTTTTTCCCCTTTTGGGGAAGAGGGGTGTCTCTGAGGTGCTGACGTGAATTATGAATTTGTTGCAGGTCAACTTTGTGGGAAAGCTTTTGGGACCTCAGGGTAGCACAATCAAGAGGCTGCAAGAGGACACCGGAGCAAAGATTTCAGTTCTGGGTAAAGGTTCCATGAGGGACAAGAACAAGGTTTGTCTAACGGTTTCCTTTGCTTCTGTCTTATTGCCCTGCATCACTCCTCTGGCTATATTAGTTTTGTGCGCTCATTGTTTTTAGGAGGAAGAATTTAGAAAGGGGGGTGAGGCTAAATATGCTCACCTCGCCATGGAACTGCATGTGTTCATCGAGGTGACGGCACCCATACCAGAAGCGTACCTGCGCATGGCTCACGCCATGGAGGAGGTGAAGAAGTTCCTTATCCCGGTATGTGTGCGGAGAGACATCTTGATGCAAGAATCAAACTTTCTAACAGATCCACTGATTCCTCACTGCTCTGCAGTAATGGTATGCATGTTTGTCTGTTGCCACATGAACAGGAACCTGGTGAGCACGATCCATACATGGATCCACTGTTCCTGAATGGATCCCAGGATGGTTCGAGGGGGCGAGGTGGTCCTCTAGGAAGGGGCAGAGGTGGACCACCTGGTGCTGGAGGACCAAGGTATGCGCTGGAATCTGTGACATAGTGTACTACAATACATGTTGTCTGGTAACACACTTACCTGAAAAGAATGCCTTAACGGGTTGAATATGTGCTTGTTGCAGATGTAAGATTCACACAAACTTAAAATTACAAATGTTTCTCAGTAAACTAAAATGTATCTGCAGAACACTAACGTGGAGTCCGTTTTTTGCATCTGGTTTGGCTAAGTAGGTTAATGGTTCTGATTTAACAGGGGCCGAGGAATGCCACGTGGGGCTCCTCGGGGAGCGATGCGCGGTGGGGCTCCACGCGGAGCACCGGGGCGAGGTGGTGCACCAAGAGGTGCTCCGTCTGGTCGGGGTGGACCTCCTTCTGCTCCTACTAGAGGAGGCTCTGCTCCTCGCTCCAGACCGCCTGCAGCAGGGGCTCCCAGGATGCTCCCCTCGGCAGCCTTGTCTCACCAGCAACACCAGGTTCCACCTTCAGCAACAGGGTCAAAGCCTGATGCTTATGAGGATTATGTAAGTGCTGAATCCTATTTGACAGCATTTTTGGCATGAATGGGAATGGCGCAGATTCATGATGTTGCCTCTTTTCTTTCTGTCTAGCCTGCATATGATGACTCTTATGCAGAGCCGGCATATGAGGGATATGATAATTATTATAGCCAGCCTTCTGCCCCTGCGTAAGTCAAGTTTAATTTATGTAACATGTCTCTTTAATGTGTGTTTTTGTTGTTTTAAATAAAATTTTTAATTTAGGTATAATTTAAGTATACCTTCTTAACCCTTGTTGGTGATGTGCCCCCAGGGATACAGAGTATTATGATTATGGACACGGTGAAGCCCAGGATCCATCATATGAGGCCGGTTATGGTAAGTCTTTAAATCACACGTATCTTTATTTTTGCTTTATTGCTTTCAGACTTAGCTGATATTTGCATCCTTTTTTTGGTTTCCTCTGCTTTTCTGTGACTTCTTGTAGCTCAAGATGATTGGGACAACTCGTGGTCCGGTGCCGGGGCTGGAGGCAAGGCCCCTCCATCTAGGCAGGCGAAGGGATCGTACAGAGAGCATCCTTACCCAAGATACTGAACAACTACTGGTAGAGAGTTGCAGTGGCAACTGTCTCCGATTGTAACTCACACTTGACTTTACAAAAGTAATTTCCCTCTCGTTTCCCTTGTTAATGGTTTTATTTAAAACATTCTTTTCTCTTTTTATTTTTAAAACCTAGGACATTTTGTTGGATGTATCCTAGTGCCAGAGGAGCAACATTTTTCTCCCTATTGTTTGTTTCAGTTGCGTAGTTATGGTCTTAGTGACATAAACAGAACTAACAAAATGACTTTTTTAGTTTCGTTTTTTTGTTAGATATTTGATGGTAAATATTTTTGTTCCTGCACAAACTGTGATTGTGGCGATTAAAATTTTCTCACATAGGCTGCATTTGTTTTGTAAAAAAAAGTCCTTCATGACTGGACAGAAATTATTCATAATGACTCCATTTGTAAATTTATAATAACTTAAACAGATTTAGTTGCAAACTCAAATAGAACCATTTTGATTAAAACGGTCTTATTTGTTTATATTGGATTACAAATCTAGTTATGTGACTTTACTCCCAAAGAGCAAATAAACAAAATATAACTGTAGAAATCCATTTGACAAAGAATAAAGGCCTTTATTTTCTGCCACCCTTTTACAATTGGTATTTTATGAAAAGTCGCTCTATTACTTGCAAAATCATCGCTGATCGACTAATTCTTGTAAAGCTTGAAGGATTAATAACTTACTGTGTACGTAAGACTACAGCCAACTCGGTCTTTTTGTATATAACCTTAGGAAAACTGTGTATGCTTAAGTCGTGCCGTCTCCAAAATGCTTAATGCTTGTGTACCTTTTGACTAAATAGGTAACTAAACACATCCCCAAAAAAACAATGTCTTTCTGCAGTGCGTGTTTCAATAAAGTTTCTAGTTTCTTTTTAATCAACCTAAACATGGTATTTTTGCCTTTGTTGTACCAAAGGATTATCTCCAGTTTGTGAAAATGGTCCTCAGTGGTTTTCAACAATGCTGAATAAGCTGTATGTATACACGTCAACTTTGATTTTTAAAATTCCAAAGCAGTGTTTGGTTTTTTGTTTTGGGTTTGGTTTTTTCTACAAGAAGTCTATCCTCTTCGCCTGTCTTCAAAATTTTATCTAAATGCCACTTGTAATGACACCTTAAAAAAAGGGGGGGGAACTGAAATTAAATAAAGCTCATCGTTCCTTGAGGTAATGTGCTGCCAAATACATGTTTGACTTGAAAGTGATATTAGTGCTTGAACATGTATTGTCATTTAACCTTTAGTTAGTGCATCTCTTCAAGCTCTCAAGAGAGCCGTGCATCTTCAGCCGCTTGAAATAACCGAATTTCAACAGTATTTCAAATCAAGCTTGCAGGGATCTTACTTGACTTTGATGCAAAGTCATGCTGGCTGGTTTTTATAAAAGAAAAAAATCGCAGAGGGAGAGGATTCTAAAAGCCTAAAGATCGCCACAAGAAGGTAAAACTAACCCCAACACTCATTTTAGAATTTTTTTTTTTTCTGTGCAAAACATCCAAGTAATGCAAGTCATCCAAAACATCCAAAACATATTTTTAATTACAAAATTATGCTATTAGTAGTCCATTCCAGGCCAAATAAGCCGCATAAAACAATATGGTGTTGATGCAACTCTTGCTCAAATGTTAAAAAGAAACAAAACGAGAATTGCCCATTCATTTCACCTAATACTTATTACCATCTTGATAATTCTATAGATTGTAGATTAAATGAAAATTACTAGTAGCACTCTCAAAGCCGTAAAACTCATTGGTGGAGACGAAAGGGAAAAAAAATGCTTGAGTTGCATGATACTTTTAATATAAAATTAGTTTGCATGGTTTTTACCTGCTGTGTTTGAGTGTTGGCACTTCTGAGTTCCAGATCTCATTTAGTTTTCTCCTCTTAGGTTGTCTGAGAACTGCGTAGGTGCAGTTGATATATTGAACTCCGGCGTTGGCAGACCTTTTAAGGTCAGTTGAATGGAAATTGCCACATAAGTGTTGGCTTTGTTGTTACGTCTGATTAAGTTCTCCTTTCTGTCGTTAGCAGGTCCATTGACGTTCCTGGAAAGGGCAGAGGCCTTGCAGTGTCTCTGAGACTGAGGCGTCTCTCAGGGAGTGAGAGAGAGCTTGACTTTTGTGTAAGATTGCTTTAGCATTGATGGGTGTACGGGCATTAAATGAATGCTCGTTCTTGAATCTGTACAGATTTTACTCTTTTTAACTGCATTTTTATTTAACAATAAAAGAACAAAAAATGACAGATTTCTATTGATGGTGCCTTATTATTCTTTGATGTTAATGAGCTGACAGGATGTTTGTCATTATCTCATGAAGTAAATCAATAAAACTATTTTTAAAGTGAAAGCCATTCATTTTTGTCCCTTTTTTAATTATGAGAATTTAATCTTTGGATATTGGACACACTTTTCTAAACATGTATGTGCAAGACTGAGATTTTTCTTGCAAGATCTAATTTAACATCCATCTACACATGAGTTGTAATGAGGTTTTTGTTTGGCAGGGCACCAGTAACTGTGGAAAAGTAGTCTGTTAATTTAGATTTTTGGCCAAGCAAGCTATAAAATTATACAGAGATGCATTACAGTTATTGCAGACTGATCTGTACAAAGGTTACTTTTATTATCCTGTGCAGAAACAGGGAAGTTAAAGATATGGCTCGCAGGCTAGAAATGGCCAACTAAGTGGTCCAGTGTAGCCCGCTGGATGGCTTAGCATAGCTCTGCAAAAAACTGCGCAGACGGGAGTACATTTCTGGTGTTTTCCCATACTTTGCATCAGCAACCTTTGCCCTACAACTACTGAAGAAGGAACCGCACACTGTGAGTGTGAGTTTTACGGCAACGCTGGGTTTCTTTTCTTTTATAGAAAGGTTCAAATCAAATCACTTTTATTGTCACATCACATGTGCAGGTACATTGGTACAGCACATGTGAGTGAAATTCTTGTGTGCGAGCTTCACAAGCAACAGAGTTGTGCAAAATACAATAATGTAAACAAGCAAAATACAAGAATGGCTACATCTGAAACTAATAAATATATGTACAATATATAATAGTATATGCATTTCTGGATGTGTATACTAAATATTTTTCTACGTGTGTGTGTGTACACATATTTTACAAATTAAATAGAGTAAACAATAAATAAAATATATAAAAATATACAGAGTTGAGACATGTGCAAAGCAGTGGCATTACTGTACAGTACGGAGTGCATAATGTTGAAGTTCCAGTAGTGAAGCTGAGGTGTCTATGACGTGTTCAGGTTATTAATATAATTAGAGGGCTCTTTAAAATTAAGAAAAGTACACTAAACCATAAATGGTACAAGTACATCAATAAAGGTAAAATTAACATTTAATTTTTTTCACAATGGACTGTGATGTAAATTATTAGTCAAGAAAAACATACAAAGAAGAGAAACTGTTCACTGGAAAGTATTCATCTTGTGGCCAGCTACTAAGAAATTTCAAAACTGTAAAATGTTAATAAATAATTGAATAAATAAAAAACATACAGCAAATTGTGCAAATATACAGTGATAAACCACACTGCATCTCATACAACACCTCCTTGATTACGGATCAGAACCAGAGCACCAAAGACTCCAGTCCAGCCAACTGAATGACACAGAGAAATGTGAAAACTGTAACATCAAGGCATAAAATCTGATGTATTTTCATTGGTTTTACAGCCTTCTTACTGACAGAGTCATTGTCTACAGCATGGCATCCTACACCAAAGTAAATAAGTAGTTTTGTACTACATCAAAACACGAAAAACTTGCCATTTCTTAATTGTGTAATATACAAATTCACTTAAAAATGTTTTTAAGGTAGGTGACAGTAGAAAATAGGAAATATTCTGTGCCTTAACATTTTTTTATGATTAAAGGTTAGAGTATTAATTACAGTAATAATTGTATTTTTAATACAATTTATCTAAAGTTGTTATACTCTATATACATATCTATATTATAGTTTGTGCGTACTATATATATTGTATAAGAATTGTATTATTTATTAATTCATTTTATAATTTATTTATATATAATAATACGTAGGGAAATGTTAGATAATATTTACATAGTTAATACGTAAAAATTATATAGAGAAACCTGTGATCGTACACTACCAAGTATAAGGAAACATTAGAGAGGCTTTTCAAAAGGTGCAAAACAGCTCAGAAAATGTTCAGTGGAAAAATCGAGATAGAATTACTGAAATATGTAAAAGAAAAAAAAACAAACAAAAAAAGATTTATCGTACATTAAAAGAAAATGTCTTTACAGTAAAGGAGCAACAATTATATATGGAGGATGTTTTTCAGAGTAGACTATTAGAACATTTTAGACTCCGTGTATCTGAAACATGAACTGAAATGAGTCTTATACCCCTGTGTTAAATCGTCATTTTAATCGATAAAAACGCCTTTCTTTTCTTTCTTGGTTAAATATGAGTGGAATATCCCTTTAAATGACTCTCCTCCCACAGCTCGCTAACATATCCGCTCCGCCGTCTGTCTACGGCTAGTTTCACATCAACAATGAGTGTTTCTGCTGCTGTCAGTGACATACACGCCATTATTTCAATAAATATTCTAAAAATTTATTGTGTTTAGTTCATTATCTCTGCTACAGAGCAGCATCTGACTCAGACATCAGACACTGGTAAGCGTACATTTCCTTGTCTAGCCTGTTTGGTGGGTTAGAAGCTACCTAGCTAGTCAAAGCTACTGCTAGCCTAGGCCTCAGTCTTGATATTTAGGCATGCATGCTCTTGGCGGACAGACTGAGGTCCGTGCCTCATTGTGTAGCTCCACGTTGTGTTCGCCTTGCAGCCCTGTATCTCTAACACACACGGTTTTCTAAACAAATTTCACCCGCGAGTGAAGCAAATGGTGTAGCTATTTAGCTTAGCTTTTAATATCAGCTTCCGCAAAAACTTGCACTTTAGAGCGAGGGATGCTTTTGCAGCTGGTGAAAACTCCTTTGTCATGCATATTTATGATTCACTGGATGTCAGGTCTTCATGTTGCAGAGGGGTCTCCTTGCTGTTTGTTTGGGCTCTGTGCACGCCTCGTTTTATTATTTAAGCCATTCACAATGTCAACTTAACTCGTTTTAAGGCAGTACAGTGTGTCTTTCATGATAGATAGATACTACAGACTGGTTTAAGTCACAATAAATATTTAGTATTGGCCAGATATTCTATATGAATCCTCTCGCCTGCTGCATTTGTACGAACAGGTACAAAAACACGGAGAGGACATATCACCAAAACAATTGAAAGAGGTGTGCCGTGGGTGTGTCCACAATGGCTGGTGGAAGGAGAGGAGCGAATCGTACCACGTACTGCAGACCTCCGTTAAGCAGCGATTCAGGCTCAGTTGGCAATGGAAATCACACAACCAGCTCCCCGGTCACAGGGGTGAGATCTCGCACTAGGTAGGTCAAACTCTGACACACTGCGCCCGATCTGTCTGTGTGTGCCTCCTCCGTGGCCTCTTCAGGAACTTCTGTGCCATCTGATCTGTCAGCAGGAACAGCCCAGGGACGTGCATGTCCAGTCCTCCTCTCGCGGCCCAGACTGTGGTTCCTCTGAAACACTGCAAGATCCCAGAGTTGTCCATGGATCAAAATGTGCTGTTCGAGCTCCATCTTTTCTTCTGCCACCTCATTGCGCTCTTTGTGCACTATGTCAACATCTACAAGACTGTGTGGTGGTACCCTGCATCTCACCCTCCCTCACACACATCACTGGTGAGCACTTGGGTGTTCAGTGTTTTGACAAAGAATGTTTCAGCAATTGCTTTGTTGATCAACCTCTGTGTAGGCCAGTAGGCACAGTTTATACAGAATATGTGGAAAATCTCATGGGAGCAAAAATCTATGTTTTTACAGAACTTCCATCTTATTGATTATAACATGCTGGTGTTCACCATCATCATACTAGCAAGGAGGTTAATCGCAGCCATTGTTAAAGAGGTAAGAATTCAGTTATTGGCTTTTGTGTCACTTTACTTTTTATTAATCCAAGGCTCTCAAAAACACCTCATGCAGAAAGACTGTACCCCGTTCTTTTTTTTTTTCATACTTATAAGGAAATTTCCAGCTGAAAAGGCCAGATGAAACAGAGACGTAAGAAAGAAATCAGTCTGCACG